CTTGGACATAGTGATCCCTATTTACACATTTGATTTAATGTCATTCTTTTGAATATGTCACTCAAAGCTATATACTGAAATATACATTTCACCAACTAAATATTAAATGGACACTAGAGGCAATATAAACATTTAATCTCATTGAATTGGTAATAGTACCTGGAGTCTCTTGACACTGTCCCTCCATTCGATGTTAAACCATTATTGAGCAGTTTGAATGATGGTCCCTGGCCATCCACGACCCGGTCCCTACTGAAGGTATGGCTAATGCAAAGATTACACACTACCTGCTAGCCATACCAAAATATACCAGCAATATGTGCTGTGATTGGCTGAATTCAGTCAAATGACACTCTCAGCCAATCACAGCCGCCCATTGCTGCTCATTCTTCCTCCTTAGAGCAAGTAGCACAACAGGATGGACTTATGGGAAATCTTGTTTAGCATTAAAACATTAAAAATGGTTTAATGCTGAATAGAAGAACAGTGCCAGGCACTCCAGACACTATAACCACTTCAGTGAGATTAAGCTGTTATCGTGACCTTTTAAATTATGTTTAAAATTAATAACTTATTTTGTTGAACAAATCATGCAAGAGGAGGTAGCATGTGTAGTTGAAAATAAGTTGAAATAAATCGTGGCTCAACCACTTAAGGCCCCATCATTATTGTTATAATAAAAAAAAAAAACTAAATTCTACTGACACTGGTAAAAGAGTGAACTACTGAAATTGTTTCTCTTTTGAGAAAGGTTTAACTTGAAAATGTCCATTATAAATGGTTAAGCAAAGAGAGCAGCTGGGCATGTATAGGCCATTTATGAAATTGTCCAGTCTGAGAGCACTTTGGACACGCTCAGTATACCCTATAGTGATTTTGTTTAAATACTCTATTTAATCTCCATTAGGGCATCTGAACTGAATATCCAGTGTATAATTGGAAGGCCTTACAATCTCCGTCAATTACTACTTAGAAACTATTTTAAAGGTAGATAACTGTTGCAGTTCTTTTTGTGTTTCTTATTTTCACATAAATGGACGATTTTTAATCCGGATGGAATCATCCCCGAGGACCACAAACATACCTGATATCAGTGAGACTGTTTTTACTTCATTTTACTCCATTTGGAATTTCTCTACTTTTTATCCATTTTTATTAATACATCTATACGGACATCACTTTTATATATTTTTATACTATACCTATTTATCAGTGTTTTAGTACTTATCAACGTATGTTTTATATCCATTGACTTTTAGTTTACTATCCACACAGCGCAGCACCAACCCCCTTCTTTTTATTCGTCTATTTTAAAGGGTTTCTGAGGTACTCCTTTTGTGGGTTGCAGCTCCCTTGTTATTAAGCGCAGACTCTTTCCCCTCCATTTTTTATTGTGTTTTACTTGCCTCCCATTTGGTATTAAAAACTACTGAACTAGACCGACCGTTAGCCCTGATTTCATGGAACTGTTTTGGGCTAAGGACCATGTGCACAGTTGGTAAAAAAATGTGTGGGGCTCCCAATAAACACATTCGTTTTACCCCTTCATGAAGTCTAGGCTCATGTTTGGAGGATTGGAGAGCTTTAGAATGAGCACCCTCATTTTTGTATTCTATGGCTTCGCATTAATGATCTTACATGGCTGTTTCTCAGGCAGTTCTTGATTAAAACATTTTTCCCCAAGTTTATTTTTGTTAATCACTTTTTTTTATTTGAAGCAATGCTGAAAACATTACAGATTTATTTAAATCTGCAGATAATAAGGAGTTATAACAGGCACATGGATCTTCACTTAGATCAAAACATGAGTACTGCAAGATTAATGTACTGATATAATCTCCCAACTAATCATGCCCCTTTTAAATAAATAAATAAATAAAATTGGAAAAAAACAGGCTATCAAATCTGTGAGTAAGTAGTTGTCAACAAAAAGCATACTAAAGGCTTATATAGAAAAATCATGACCAGAAGTCCAAGAAATAACATGCTAGTAAGACAGGTTGCATTCAAAATAGCTTTACCACTGGGCACCCCAAGACAGAAAGATGTTGAATGAGAAAAACAACATAAGGTAGTACACTAGTCGCACAGGGTCTGTAGGTAGATTGTTATGCACAATATGTACTCATGTGTAGTCAACCACTGTCGCTGGTAGGCTTCTACAGAGTTGTCATCTCCATGTCAGGCTCATTTTCAGCCTCCTTCTCCCTTGGAAATTTCTGAAATCGCTGGCTGCTATTGAGATCCCCTCTGGAAGCACTCTGCTTCTCACAGTTTCGAGCCCAGGCCTTAGCAGGAGCCAGAGCCCCTTGTCTGAGGACCCCTACTCCTTACAGCAAGATTGCAGATCTGCGGGAGTTTTGTAAACTGGGAACCCCTCTGGATGTTCGAATAGTGGACCAGATGCGACTCCTGGTTGACCCCCGGACCGGAGGAACATCAAGGAGTCACCACAACTGCCTGGTTCACGGGAGCAGTAAGAAAGGTACAGTGACATGTGCAGCTGTGTAAGCGGTGCCAGAATGCTTGGCAGATCTTCTCAGATTTTTCTTTGAAGACCTCCTGCCATGTCAGGTTCTCCAGACTTGTATTTAGCTGTCCAGTGCAGCAACAATCTTAGGAACACCTCTTGGTCTTTGGCCATGTAAGATGTGAATTGACCACTGCAGAAATGCAGGAGCACCCAGTGCAGACTGGGATATCCCCCACCAGTCCTAGGGTGGGAACAGGGCTCCATTGTCTCCACTGGCAGATTGAAGCCCGAGCCAGAAGATTGGCCACCTCTGCCAAATACCGAACCTCTCAGTAGGCCACAAGATTAGGTATGGCATATATTCATCAGGGTACCCATGATCATGCTAAATATGTGTGGTAGCTTAAGGTAAGGGTGGTCCCCGGTTTAGAGCCGTTACCTGCAAAATGTGCTGTGGTAATTTCACGATTTTAGTTCAAATAAGCTGGAGCCAGGGAGGAACATGTAGGACTATCTTGGCTGTCAGGCACGCTCCTTATTATTTTAAATATTTTATTGCTAGAAGTGATTTATTTATTTCTGTACCCTAAAATAGCATTAAACAATTTGAAAACTCCCACTGCTTACCCAATTTTGGCAGCTTTTCACCTAATGATTTATATTATGAATTGAATCCAATCTATGGGATATCCATCATCTTAGACTCTTTGTTCATAACATACAGAACACAAAAGTAAGTCATACATACATCAAAACAGTGTCCGTGGCACTAATCAATATAATCTGCAATATACATTATAAACTAGCTTTAAAATGGATACATTTCTAAAATAAAATCTTTAGTTACCAAATATGATCATGTATTGCACAAGACATACAGTTTAGAAAACATATTTTTAGCAGGTCCTCATAAAATCACTTTTTTTTTTTTAGATCCAAACTACGTGATTATCAATCTTTTGGGATTATTTCAGTACAGCTAGACCTCAGGACCATATGATTTTCAACTTCAAAATGTAAAAAATCCTTTACTAATGTATAAAGATATTGTAATTGTATATTTGTCTTGTTGAATAAAAATGAGTGCTAAACTGATGTATATAAATATATTTTCCATTTTCCCGTCATTTTCGTACATACATTCATGTTACTGTGCATTGCACGTCTGCAGTAAAGTCAGGTCTTGCATTACACATGAGGTTAAAGAAAGGATTGTTTTTGATTTGGTTTGCATAGGGATTAAAATAATATAATGTCAAATGCATTATTAGGACGCAAATTGTGAAATTAAGTGCAGCTCCCATGGTTTAAGCTGCCAGCACATTATTATTAATCAGAATATAATGTGCTGAGCAAAGACAGTTTCAGAAAAACCTAGTTTTTGTTACTGGAGTGCAACTGTCACGCATTCTATTAATTGTCGCCTTAGTAGCTTGTAAATGTTTTGATACAAGCGGTAAACTAGTTTATTACTGCAATAAAGAAAGGGCAATAAAGAAACGGCTCGCTTTATGGAAAATGATCTGCTAAAATAAAACATTGCTCGCTTTTCCCATTACAGAGGGAACCGCTACCATCAGTACATGAGACTGATATCACCTATTTGGGAAGTGGGGAACTCAAAAGCCAAGCATGTCCCATATGTATCATCAATATTAAAATTCTACTATAGAACTCTCATCGCACTTCTCATTAAGGTACAGCTGACATATCTATCTCCCTAGGCACAATTGGGAAGGAATGTATAGACATAGTTTAATTTTTAATTTGTTGTGCTATTGGCACAGGTGTTCAAACTTCCAAGTATGGCAGTTTCCTTGAGCTGTGCACATGTGCTCTCACCAGGGCCGTCTATAATATGAATAGGACCCTGGGCAAAGCATTTTCTTTGGGCCCCCTGGGCCCTGTCCCTGTGCCCCACTCCCCATTACGCCCAACCCGCAATCACACTGACAGATATACTGACACATACACACACAGACAGACATATTAAAACATTCGCAGATACATACTGACACACACATACACTGACACACAAATATATACTGGCAAATATATTGACACACATTCAGACATACTGATACACACACAGACACACATACATAAAAACAGACACATACACTGACATATATACTGACACACACACAGACACATACACTGACAGAAATACTGAAACACATACACTGACAGGCCTATTGACATACACAGACATACTGACATACACACACAGACATATACACACACAGTATGTCTCTGTGTGTGTGTGTGTTAGTATGTCTGTGTGTGTGTGTGTGTGTGTGTGTTAGTGTGTGTGTGTTAGTATGTCTGTGTGTGTGTGTTAGTATGTCTGTGTGTGTGTGTATGTCAGTATGTCTGTGTGCGTATGTCAGCATGTCTGTGCGTGTATGTTAGTATGTCTGTGTGTGTGTGTGTCAGTATGTTTGTGTGTGTATGTCAGTATGTATGTGTGTGTATGTCAGTGTGTGTATGTTTATGTCAGTGTGTCTGTGTGTGTGTATGTGTATGTCAGTGTGTCTGTGTGTATGTCAGTATGTCTGTCATACTGACATACACACACACAGACATACTAACACACACACACACACACACACACACAGACATACTGACATACATACACACAGACATACTGACATACACACACACACACAGACATACCAACACATACACACAGACATACTGACATACACACTCACACACACACATACATACTGACACAAACACACACACACATACACACACACACACAAACATACTGACACACACACACACACACACAGACATACTAACACAGACATACTGACATACACACACACACACACAGACATACTGGCACACACAGACATACTAACAAACACACAGACATACTGACATACATTTAGCTACCCTCCAGGTTCTTACCTTTTTATGGAGGGTGGTTTCCCTGGGGTCCAGTGGCAGGCTGAGGTAGTTGGGAGTTATCTTCAAGAACTCCCCTCCTCCCTGTTTTCCTCCTCCCACGCAGCTATTATCTCCGGTGGGAGGAAGTGACACGCCGCACTCACTTCCTCCCAGCCGGTACAGAAAGGGGCCCGGTCGCGCTGTTTAAGCGTCACAGTGCCCGACCGGGCCCCTGCTGACACATGGTAACCGGGTGGCCCTTAGTGCATGGGCCGCCCGGGGGGCCTCCTTAGTTGGCGGGCCAATGAGGCTGCACCGCTGGGTACATGGGGGCTGCTGAAATCACGGGCCCACGGGGCAGTTGCCCTGTTTGCCCCGTGCTAAAGACGGCCCTGGCTCTCACTTAGAAATCTGTGAGTTAGATCAAGCAGACTCTGATTCACTACCTCCTCTGCTCAAACACCAGTGACTGAAACTGACAGTGCCACAACTCGTTATCAGACCTCATCTATTGATTAGGGCTGGCTGAGGATGAAAATCAATGTCAGACCTCCCCTCCTTAGATAGGAAAGCAGGATGGAGGAGCCCTAATGTAAAATTAACTGCAAATTACTTTTTATTCTTTGATAACTTGAAGGGTGTATGTATCTGTGCATGTGCAAATGTGTACATCAGTTAGTGTAGACATGGATTCTGCTTTGTCACTAAAACATATGAAGTCACAGCAAATTATGGTATTGTATTTTATTTCTTACTGTTTTTGTACTAAACATTACATATATAATTAAGAAAGGAAGTGGGGCGTAACAATTTGCTGATTTGGTCTCAGATTGGCTATTGGCCAAAAGTTACCCACCCTCCCCTGCCTATAACACGAGTGATATGCACGTTGAGAATGAGAAATTCTGAAGAATATGTGCAATTTGTTCTTACTACAGTAACCAGATCCTACAGAATTGTTTAATCATTCAGGGAGGAAATAGCTTTAACTATAAACCTCTGTTCTTTATAAGTTGGCAAATCTCTTTATTATACTCTGCACAGAGATCAGAAGAGCAAATTTAAAGTGGCGATAAAGGAACGATATTGTCTCTTTTTGCTATATAACCTTGTCATCCATTGTCTCGTCATTGAAAGACATGGTTTTAGAAATAGCTAATTTTACAGATATTATAAAAATGTATTAATATACATTTTAATATTCGTGATGATGGGACCTTTCTCAGTTAACCCTTCCAGACATCCCCAATAAAGTCCCCCTGTATATACCTGAGTTTTTAGCAAGTACTGAGCAGATTTCTAATTTTAAAACTTCCCCAATACTATTAAATATGAAAGCATAATAAAAACATGAAATATGGGATGGAAAAGCCAACACTGTCCCTTTATGTGTCAAATGGATATAGCTTATAATTGATGAAATTATAAATGCCCTCACATATGCTATTACTAAATTTTCTTTATGCTTTCACTAGCGAGAAAAATGCCATTTTCAGCTGAGAAGGTGGGACGGCACATTTATCATTAGCAAAACTACTGCAAAACTTTCACAATAACACAGAAAGGCACAAAGGGAAAAAAAATGATGATGATGTAATTACCGGGAGATAGAAATAGGTCCAATGTCAAGAGAAGATGAGAGGCAACAATAAAATAGCTGATGGTATATCCGTAAGTGCATAAATATGCAAATCTCTGGTGACCCTGGAAAGAGCTGGCACGGCAGTTCGAGCAGGGTAAGAAGTTGTTGAAAAATTCCCTCTGAACATCATTACATTATAATGATCTCACAGTAATCAGTTTATCAATCATTGAAAGATACAAACATAGATTGCAAAGTGGCCAACAATTCTGTTGTGAATTCAGAGGGAATCATGGTATAGGTTTAAACTATATTTATCAATTTACTTTGATCCGAAAGCAATTGTACCCAATTAGTGTTAGACTGGAATACTGATAGAGAGTGACGTTTGACATCCAACTTCATTATGTAGTTTGTAAATATACAGCGCACAGTGCGACTGAATGCCAGCCTGTAATATCCATTACTTATTAAGTAACTGAACCCATATTTTATACTGTGACTAAATAGCAGACTGTACTTTATAAGGTGCATATCTCTTAATTTCAAATAGTTTTATTAACAAATTATTCAGTGCTGTACAATAGGTGAACTAACAAACAAGCAGTAGCAGTAAGACAAACTGGACACAAATGAACAGAAAGTTCTGAGAGCCATGCTCAAACCTACTTACAGTCTAGGGGGAGTGGGGTGAAGAAACACACAGAGGGGCTGGGGGGCAAAGAGGCAAACAGATGGGCTGGGGGAACAAAGACACACAGAGGTGCTTGGGGGGTAACAAAGGGACACACAGAGTGGCTGGGGGAACAAAAAGACATACAGTGGGCACACAGTGGGGAGGGGGAAAATAGACACATAGAGGGGCTAAGGGGGACAAAGAGACACCTGGAAGAGCTCAAGGAACAAATAGACACATAGAGGGGCTAAGGGGGACAAAGAGACACCTAGAGGAGCTCGAGGAACAAATAGACACACAGAGGGTCTGAGGAGGGACAAAAGGACACACAAAGAGGCTGAGGGAGCAAAGAGACACACAATAGGGATGTGGGAACAAAGAGACACATTATGGGGGTGGGGATGCTTGGTGTGTCCCTTTAATCATTTCCCTGAATCCCATGTTATACTGCAACTGTACCCCAATCGGTAATGATCGAATAGCAGCTCTCTCTATTACTCTGTTGTGAATGAAACCCAAACTATATTAACTCTATTAATATTTCTGAACCTCATGTTATACTTCAAATGAACCCCAATTTGTAATGACTCAAGGTGCATTTCTATGAATCATAACTGTTTACTTTAATAGAATTTCAGTGCATCCCAATATTTTCTTGTGACTATATATCAACCTCTACCTACTAGTCATCTCTTCCTCTTACCTATTCTCATAGGCGTGCGCACGGGGTGTGCCGCGTGTGCCTGGGCACACCCTAATCCCCGCGGCACGCGCTATGTGCCTCCCTCCGTGGGCCGGTGAGGGAGATCAAAGATCTCCCTCACCGACCCACAGGCAGGGAGGGAGGCAAGAGAGGACCCGGGGTAGCTCTTGCCAGGAGCTCCGCCGGGTTCCTCTTGCGCCGTCGGAGAGTTACCGTGGCAACGCTCAAATCTCGCGAGAGTGAACTCTAGCCCCACAGGGGGCTCGAGTTCACTCTCCACTGGACTACCAGGGAAGGCAGGAGCACGGTCCCCCCTCCCTACATAAGGTAAGAATGGAGGGGGGATATTAACTAAATGGCCCCCACACATTACACACAAACATACAGCACACACACATACATCACCCTCACACACACACAGCACCCTCACACATACACACACACAGCACACACTAACAGCACCCTTACACACACAGAACCCTTACACACAGCACCCTCACACACACAGCACCCTTACACACACACAGCACACACTAACAACACCCTTACACACACACACACTAACAGCACTCTCACACTAACAACACCCTTACACACACAGCACCCTCACACATGCACACACACACAGCACACACCAACAGCACCCTCACACACACAGAGCACCCTTACACACACACAGCACACACTAACAGCACCCTCACACACACAGCACCCTCACACACACAGCACCCTTACACACACAGCACACACTAACAGCACCCTTACACACACAGCACCCTCACACACACTAATATCACCCTTACACATACACACACACAGCACACACTAACAGCACCCTTACACACACAGCACCTTCACACACACAGCGCCTTCACACACACAGCGCCCTCACACACACACACAGCGCCTGCACACACACAGCGCCTTCACACACAGCACCTACACACACACACAGCACCCTCACACACACAGTAGTGTGTGTTTGTGTGTGTGTGTGTGTATGTATGTGTATGTGTATATATGTATATATATATATATATATGCGGCGTGTGTGTTTCTGCTTTAGGGTGCACACCCTTATGCAATAGACTGCGCACGCCTAAGCCTGTTCTGGATTCACTTTACTTTATAGACCATAATCCTCAATCTATCTAATATCACTAACTTAACACCTTAACATGGGTCTGTCTTTCACACAAAATGCAGATTAAGGAACAGTGCATACACAAAATAAAGTAATAAAATAAAATAAAGTAATAAAAAAGACAGTTTTTAATTTTACACGGCTACTTAAAATCACCTATCTATGGGGACTCAGTTACACCATATGGCCATATCGCTCCAATATCCAAAGATCTGACACCTAATTTTGACATGGTAGATAAACATGCTAACTGCAATACTTACTGGTTAGACAGTTTACACTTGGAGTGGAGGGGTGGGTTGCACAGCCCAATAGGAATCTGTACAATATTATATAAACAGTGCTCCACCGAAAAACCAAACAAGTGATGGGTGGAGAAAAATGTACTTGATTTTTTTACAACAAAATACAGCTTCCCAAGAGGCCTTCCCTTGTAGCGCCTCCAATATGACAGGTAATGTATACAAAAACTGGGATACAACTAAATTCTAGAGAACAAAAAACAAACAATACATAGTGATGTACAGTTATAAAAATGGAACACGGCAGTTATTGGTTACACTCACAAGATGTGAATTCAAGAAGCGCCTTGAAGTCCAAACAAGGGCTATAG